TAATTGTTGTCCACTTTCTAGGACTGCTGAGTCCAGTCTTGTGGTGTTGCCTTGTTACTGAAAGTCCACGTTTTGACTATTTCCCTAACAAGGGACGAATGTGGTCCATAAGCTACAATTGCTTGTTTAAATCACTCATACATATGGGCTTCCATGAATATGCTTTGACAACCTTAGGGTGCTTGGGACCAGATACTCTTTCTGTTGTTATTACTGGAAAGGCAGGTAGAGCGCTGGGGACGCTATCTTGGAGATTTTTATGTACCGATTTTTAGTACATACTGATTTTTGCCTTTGTACCTTTTGTCCCTGGTCATCAAATTCATTAAGTTCCTCAATTTTTTCAAATCTATTTACCACTGCATTTTGTAAAGTCTGGATCTCCTGTCCAGAGTTCTGCTCTAATGCCTTCATTGAGGATTACAAGGTATGAAGTCTGTCCATTAGAGATAATGTCTCATCCTTGGACATAATCTTCGTAGCATGCATATTACCTTCCTGGAGAGACATTCTAACAGTCAATCTGGCACACCGCTTTGACAGAGTCCAATTAATACATTCAGTACAAATTCTCTCAAATAATGTTTCAGTACCCTCTGTCATTGATTGGGTTTTATGTGCCAAATCAGCTGTTTCCTTCTCCAGAGTGTTGAATTTTTCTTTGAATAAATTATTATCAGTCTGTGCCATTTCTAAAAGTACCCCAGTTCACTGAGTTTTGTTAGTTAAATTGTTTGTATCCTCCTTCAGAATTCCAACCTCTTTTTTGAGAAGCCTGGTATTAGTCTGTAAAGACTGTACCATTTCTAAAAGCCCCTCATTCTTAGCCCTATTGTCAAACCATATTTTTAAGAAAAAAATATTGAGGAGAAGACTAATCCCCAGAATCAAAAATAGTGATATATATATAGAAGGGACATCATATAAGTCTTGTAAAACCTTGTACATGGTGTAAGAAAAGAAGCTATTGAAACCTTGGATGGTTAGGTTGTCTAACATATTGCCCTTTTAAATTATAAAGTGTGTCAAGTTATAAATCTTACCTATGGTTGATTTTGAGCTGGAGTAGGTGAAATAATCATTACCTGCCAGTAGATGTTGTGGGTCACCTACAAAACGAACCCAGCTGGGTCTAGGGGCGCACTTGGAGTCACATCACTGGTCTGAATCTAATTTTAGAGTAAAATGCTCAAAGATATGCTTAGATTAAAAATAGTTATTTAATAGAAATCACAGACTGTGTGCACCCAGTGGGCCTTGACCAGTCAGCAGCTGTAGGAGCACAGGGATAACAAGATATTTTCACACGGTGCACAGCGGTGGGGCATAGGCACTGGGGTAAGCACATGGGTACTTGAAACTGCTCCAAGGTGTGTAATGAGATAATATAAAGAGCCACGGCTGATCTGTAGCAAGAAAAGCTGCTGTGCAAGAATTCTATATGAACTGCTGGCTCTGGGCACGGGCTGTAGCTGAGGTGGGCTGAGCTGCGTGATACCACGCCCAAGTGGGCTGGTATCTTAAAGGCTATTGGCTGAAGAAGCAGAATGTGTTCCCACAGCACCCATGTACCTGCTCCTGGGAAGGTCGCTGGCTTGGGCCTGCTCAGGCAGAGGTTGCTGGCTCAGGCCTGCTACCTCAGAGGTCTGTTTGAGGGGTTTCTGCTTCTTCCAGGCTGCTCAGTTGGTCTTGGAGTTCCATTGCAGCTTGACTCACCTGAGAACAGTTCTCAGAATTCTTCGCTGCTTACTCTTGAATCTTGTCAGTTTCAGAGAGTTCCTGAAGGGATTTTAGGTTGTTCACTTTCTGTCTCAAGGAGCTTCCCGGAAGGATGGAATGTTTCAGTCTAGAAGGAAATTGCCACACAACAATGGCTAAAATCGGATACTGCTAACACGTGCTGGCAAGGCTATGGGATAACAGGAGCTTTCATTCACTGCTGGTAGGAACACGATACAACACATCCACTTAGGAGATAACTGGGCGGTTTCTTATAAAACTGACTATACCGTGCCATGTGACCTAAGTATGTCTAAGTGGATTGAAAAGTCCTATCAAGGCCCTTGAGGGATGGCCCAGTGGTTAGGAGCCACTATCTTGAGAGGACCTATCTTGGGTTCCTAGAACCTACTTGGTGGCTTAGCATCCCCTCTAACTCCAGTCCTAGGGGATATAATGCCCTCTTCTGAGTTCTGTTGCTATTGTACCCAGGTGAAGCACATGCATGCAGGCAAAAGAGAGTAAAGAAACCTAAAAATAATTAAACAGATGTTTTAAACTTAAAACTTCATATTTTTTTCTTTAAAGGATCATAGTTTTTGGTGTATCTAATACATCTTCACCAAACCCAAGGTCATCTAGAATTTCTTTGATATTACCTAGTAATGACATTGTCCCTTCAAGGTCTGCATTTTACATGGAGGTCTATTATCTATTTTCCAGTCAGTCTTTGTGAGAAGTGTAAAATCTTTGTCCAGTGTCACCTTTTGGCTTATCTGTGCCAGGCAACCTTCTGCTGCTGTAACAACTACCTCAGGTAGTCAATTCAACGAGAGAGAAAGTTTATTTTGATTCACATTTTTAGGGTTTGGGGCCGTGACTGGGCATCTCTATTGCTCTTGAGTCTGTGGTGAAGCAATAAGCCAAGGCAAGGAACACAGGATGTGAAGGAGGAAAATGAAGAGATCTGGCTCCCAGAGACCCTTCCAGGAGAGCCAAGATGGGAGCCAGGCACCCTAGGATATATCATACAAACTCGAGTAGGCGCTTGGTTGGAAAAACTGTCTTCCTTCTAGGGGATTGTCTGCCACTGGGTCATGTGTGGTTCTTTTACTAGGCTGCTTGTCTAACTGATCTATTTGCCTGAAGGTAAGATATATATATATATATATATATATATATATATATGTATATATATATATGTGTGTGTGTGTGTGTGTGTGT